TGCAAAGCAGCATCTGTATCTCTACATGTTGTAGACCAAACATGATAGGAAACCTGACCAATTCATGTTAGCCACTGTACTAGCCTAGCATAATACCGCCACTTCCTGGACATAAAATTATCACGTTATAAAATGATACGTATCACGTTATAACGTGATAGCGGTCGATTTCCCCCCCCTGCGTGATAGCAATGCGCTTCCGTACATTTACGGTTTAGAATAGGGCATTAATATTAATTTCATTATTGATACTATCAGCTTGTCAGGCTTTGATAGTAGACGCATAAGTTGGTACAGTATTCTCCATAATGAGCCTTCATGGGGCGATAATACAGTACAGGCAAAGCTGCTCCTCCAAACGGGCCATTTTGAGTGAATTGTGGAAATGTGTGCCGAGATCAGTGTGTCAACCATAAACCTAGCTTAGTCCGTCTTTGCTATTACCGTTACAGGTGTATAAAAAAAAAAAAATAATAATAATACACAAACTCCATGCACAAAAACCCTGGGCCGGGAGTTGAACCCAGCCCAGGTTCAATCAATCGGGTAATTATGGTCCTGGGGGCTGGTTTGACCCAGGACCTTCTCGCTGCAAGGCAACTGTGCCACTGTGCGGCCCCTAACATTTTGTATTCTGTTTAAAAATGACTCGCATACATCAGCTGGCAAAGGCAAAATCTGGTGTCAGTAGAAGCCTATTGGATTTGACTTATTTACTTGCAGTAGTCAGATGGAACTACCAACTGTTTATTTTTTTCTTCATACATCTGAAATGTTTTGGAGGATAAAGGTAAAAATGCAGTTAGAAATTATTATTCAACACTGTTGTTCCAAACTCCAGAGATGTACATATGTTTTCCAATTAACTTCAAAAATAAATTTTTGAAAGCTTTGTTCATCTGGAATGGTACTTTTAGAAGTACACACAGATTTGCAGGCAAAGCCAAAATTAACTTTTCTAGGAAAGATTTAATCTTAATCAGAGGTGGTCCTAGCCTGTTTAGCACTCTGGGTGAACCACCTTTCCAACTTCCCAGCAAAACATCCCTGCAAGTTAAGAGGGTTAGGGGAGGGTACCCATATTGCCCACATCAGAAACCGCCACTGGTATTAATGTCAATCCCAGGGTTTACAAACTGTGTTACAAATGCTATTAGTGGGACACAGACTCCCTCTGGTAGCTCAAAAACAATTATGATATTGTCCAGTTAGAGGCATCTGTGTTGTTGCTATGTTTGTTAGCCTGAGTGACAATATTGTCTGCAATAGTCAGAGTACAGGAGATCCGTTCCACTCCTTGTCCACATTGCAAATACACCCACAAATACACATTTTTAAAGCTAAATAACACTATCAATTAATGCTCCCTGCAACCACGCTCACTATTCCAGCTCCTAATTTACCACCAGGTGCCGTGTGTTTGAGTAGGATGACTTTATACTTGAACACAGGGGTGAGTGACGAATTGCTGTACTGTTTCAAAAGTTGATTCTTGTGGAAGCTGGCACAGATAATGAAATTAAGATCAAACGGGGCACACCAGAAATTATGCTGCTGCATCAAGTGTTCAGGCCAAACTGACAAATGTGTCCTTTGCAGTTGTTTAAGGTTCAAATTTGTTGTCATATTTTCTTTAAATGTGCATGTGGGCAAAGATTTGAAAAGGTCGTTGATATTAGAATATATTTTTGCATGTCATAAAAGAAGTGTTAAATGGTGAATGGTTTAACAATTAGTTTCTTGTGGTTTACAGGCAGATCAGAGATTTGTCTGGAATGGGAACCTTTTAAGAGAACTTGCTGGGCAGCCTGAGGTAACTGCTGTCACATGGCTTCACTCATCTTAACTACTTTTATACTCACATTTTCTAACTACCACTGTTTCTCTATAGCTTCACAGATTCGCACTACCTGTTATTCATGGATGTATCCTTTGTCCCAAAAATCCCATATGTTTTTGTTGATAAATGACCTGACCAACAGAAGCTCGGAGATCAAGCTTTTCTTTAACCCTCTTCTTCCAGTCATTGTCATGAAGCCATGCCGTATAAATGGGAAGATCTTTGAGTGGATCCTCATCTCCAGGAGAAGCTGTTTCCGGGCTGGTGTGAGATACTATGTTAGAGGTGAACATGCAAAAGCATTGGTTAGCTGGATTAAACTGTGAAACATTTGGACTAATAAAGGGAAGGCAATATGTTCCTGTCAGAAATGCCTGAGTTTAAATGTAGGTGCCATATTGACATGACATTTGTCAGCAACTGACCAATAATGATATAAATATCAATAGTTGTTATGCCTTAGTTTACCTGTGGATATGTATTAGATGGTCCTTGCTGGTTCTGTATCTGCAGTTATGCCTTCATATTGATGGCTGAAGTTCAAAGTTTCCTATCTATGGGACATTATTATTACTATAATTATTATTCGCTGCAAACTGGCCAGACATTGTGCTCCATGACAAGAACAACAAAATGTGTTACTTGCTTGATGTGTCTAACCCGGATGACGATAACATCTTAAAGAAAGAAGCAGAGATGATAACAGAAACAGATCTGGAGATAGAAGTCCAACGCAAAAACTAGCTAGCACTGAATCTTCACTACCGCTGCTGTAGTGAGCAGCAATGGAAAGGAGGGACTCCATTTTCTATCCTCTCCTCTAACCTTTGACAAATGTTTCTGTCTGAACAGGTATTGATTCTGAAGGCCACGCTGCTAACTTTGTGGAGACTGAGCAGATAGTCCTGTATGAGGGAGCAAAGGCTTCCTTTGTACAGGTAGGCTTGTTCTCTGACTGTTGTCTCATGAAAGGTGTTGCATATAAATACTTTCCAGTAACCACAAGGTACTTTCATCCACAGACACGAGGCTCTATGCCGTTTTACTGGAGCCAGAGGCCCAATTTGAAGTACAAGCCTAAACCTGTCATCAGCAAAACCATGAATCATGTAAGAGCTGCCATTCTCTCATATGCCTGATGTCTTAGGCTTTAATTAGAATACAAGTGAGACTCTGATGTTAACCATTTGATAACTGTATACAGATGGATGGTTTCCAGAGGCACTTTGACTCTCAACTACTCATCTATGGAAAACAAACTGTTCTGAACCTGGTGAGGACCTTTTATTAAACACTGAGCTAAGAATCATCCAACAGTACACATTTGAAGGCAATTTGGACTTTTCTTGTCCAGGTGAATCAAAAAGGGTCAGAGAAGCCACTGGAAGAGGAGTTTGCCAAGATGTCGTCTGGTCTTAACAACGGTATGCTCAAGTAAGTGTCAGCCATTGCTTTTCAGTTTTTACATTCACTTACAATTCAGTTCAAATTTATTTCATCAAG